AATGGTAGAGCCCCGACTGGAAGTCAATTGAAATGAGGAAAATCAATAACAAACATAGTTTAATAATTGTAACATGGAATGTACATAGCTTAAATGTTGGAAAACTGGAAATTGTTAAAAATGAAATGGAACTCATGAATATCGACATATTAGGCATTATTGAGGTGTGATGGACCAGTTTTGGCCACTTCAAATCAGATATGGCCTACTATGCAGAGAATTAAAAAACAAACAAACAAAAAAACACACAGAGAAAGAATGGTGTTGCATTTATAGTAAAAAAAGTCAATCTCAAGTTCTATCCTGAAATACAATGTTGTGAGTGATACGATAATAAACAAAGGCATACAAGGAAGACCCGCTAGCATGGCTGTTATTCAAATATGTGCTCCTACGTCTAGAGCCAAAGAGGAAGAAATTGAGAATTTTTACCAAATTTTGAAGCCCAAAATTGATCATACATGAAATCAGGATACATTAACGATAATTGGTGACTAGAATGAAAAAATAGGAAACAGTGAAGAAGGAACAGTTAGTTGAAAAATAGAGGCTTGGTGATAGAAATGAAGCTGGAAATATAATGATTTAATTTTTTATTTACCATGGTTTGTTCATTGCAAATACTTCTTCTAAAACACACAAAAGATGACTTTACACATGGATTTCATCTGGAGGGATGCATAGGAATCAGACTGACTACAATTGTAGAATAAATCATTGGAAAAACTCAGTATCGCCAGTCAAAACTAGGCCAGGGACAGATTGTGAGTCAGATAATCAATTACTTTTATGCAAGTTTGAATTGAGTAAGAAGAAAATGAAAATAAATCCACAGGAACCAAGATATGATCTTGAATCAATTCCATTTGAATTTCATGATGATATTAATAGGTTTGAGGTATTGAACACCAGTGATTGAAGACCAGATGAGTTGTGGGATGATACCAAGGATATCATCCATTAAGAAAGTAAAAGGTCGATGACAGTTGGAGCCAGGAAATTTAAAAAAAAAAAAGTGATGCATTGGAGAAATCTGCTGTCAAGGATTTCTTTAAAGTAGTAAAAAACAAGAATGTAAATTTGAAGGCTAAAGTATACTTGACCCAAGACATGATACTATCAATTACTCTATACGCTGGACAGTGAATAAAGGAGACTGAAGAACTGATGTCTTTAAATTGTACTGGGGAAGACTATTGATTATATCATAGGCAAGCAAAAGAACATACAAATCTTGCCTTGGAAGAAATTCAACCAGATTGCTCCTCTGAGGTAAAGACGGTGAAACTACATCACATATTTGGGGCAAGCTGTCAGGAGGAGTCAGTTCTTAGAAGTGAACATAGTGCCTCCTAGAAATGGGCAGGATCAGAGAATGAGAGGAAGCCACTCCGTGAGATAGACTAACACAGTGATTGCAATTTAAGCACAAAGAGAATATTGAGAATGACATAGAATCAGGTAAAATTTTATTTTGTTGTACAGAGTGTTGATAGGAGTCAGAACCAATTCTATGGCAACTAAATAACAACAATAACAAGTCAATGAATGAGTAACAGCTGGAGACATTCTGTATTTGCAGTTGCTTTAGGTTGGAATTTGGCTGGATAGTAGAGTTTGGTGGACATTTATGTGAAAGTATTAGGAGGAAAGAGACAAAAGAGGGACGCTCAGTGAATGTTGAAAAGCAATATGTCACATGATGCAACTCTATGAATTTCTGAGAGAATTCATTTAGAGTCTAAATTTGAGATCATTTTCTCTTATAAGCATATTTTATGTAATTAAAGTAGGTTGGAACCTGATATTGAATGCCTCATATTCAAATATGCATGTTTATTATATATCCATTTCATTATAATTCTATGGTGTGCAACATATCATTAGGGGCATTTACCTCATGATAAATGGACTTCATTAGCAGTGCTTTGAAGCATTATTATTTATTCATCTATGAAGGTTATTAAACTTCTATTAACTCACTTTTCCAGGAACTGTTATTTTAAATCTCTAATACTTTCTTATCCATCAAATGAAGAATCAGTCTTTTCTATTATTTAATGCTTGATTTTAATGATTAAATTAAGAAAGCTGGAGTAAGCTCTACATCTTAAGTTGATCAATCAATATATAAATTTTAATTTAAGCAAAATAAAAAGGATTGTACGAAGATATATAGTCCGACATAAGTTTTACCATTTAATGTTTTAACAATATGTTGTTTTATTTATCTGGTTTACTAAATTCTCTCTGGCTTAGAGAATGTAACATATTGAAATAATACTTTCTGTGTTGTGGCTTAATAAATGAGTTAAAGAAATTTTGTAGTGTTCTAAAAAGAATGCATTAGTAATTTAAATGAATTTAAGAGTGACATTTATGACTGCTCACACATGTTTTGCTGTTGTTGAGTCACCTCCAACTGATAGTGACCCTGTGCACATTAGCTCTGAATCCTCTCCTATCCTGAACCACTCTTACTGTCTCTGACACACCTCCATTAATCTAGTTACTGTCTTAATCCATGTTATTCCAGATCTACCTTTCTTATGTTGTCCCTCCACCTTTCCAAGCACGATGCCTTTCTTCAAGGACCAGTCCTTCCTGGCAACATGTCCAAAGGACATGAGACGGACCTTCAAAATATTTGCCTCCATGAATGGAAATCCAAAATCTCTGTAAATGTTCATTGAAATGAATAATAATTTAAAAAAAATTTTTTTTGCCTCCAATACTTAACTTGATTTCACCCACTCTAGGACAAATCTTTGTTCTCTTGGCAGTCCATGAAGGAATACTTAATAGGCTTTTAGGATTTTTTTTAATATTAAAAACTGTTATGGTTTTAGTATTAAGAGAGCTTGTCTATAATATACTTTTGATAATTTGGGGAAGCAAACAATACTTCATACCATAATGTGGCCTTTTTCTCTTTTGTACTTTATAAATCAATGATGTTTCCTAACAGAACATAAAAGGATGCCCCAAGGTGGAGAGCATAAGTCTGCTAAGGCAGAAGAGAGATTTCTCATTTGCATTTCCACCCTAACTTCTCATCACAAATAATGCTGATCTTGCAGACACTACCTGTGACATGTACTGATGGAAATTAAGGTGAGTTTAAATTTACTTGTGACTTGAGTCTTTGGTGTCAGATGACTAGTAATATAAATAAGCCACTTCTCTTGCTCTATGAAGTTGAGCGGGAAATAGAGGATTAAAAAAAAAGACTGATCAAAATTGACAAAAAGGAACAAACAGAATAATTTCCTACAGTCATCTATACACATTTATGAAACATTGACCATAAGTCAAGTGCTATAAGAAGGAAAGAATGAAGTTATATACTGTTCCTTATTGGTTTTGCAAATACTGAATAGTTTTATTTATGTAAAATGACAAGAATAAGCAAATATTTTGAGATAAAAGTTTTTTAGTAGTTGCCAGAGCCTGGAGGGGGAGGGGAAATGCTAGCCTTTGTGAAGTAGTGAGTTTCTGTTATGGGGTTGAGAAATTTGACATTAATTGAAGGAAATGGTTATACAGTCCAATAAAGTCATTGATGTCAATAAATTGTACAACTGAAAAATGTTCAATGGCCAGTTATGTGTTTATTTTTATATGTATTCATACGATGCTATCCATTTACATGTATACTTATATATATGGGTGTGTGGGGGTGCACGCGTGAGTGCAAATAAAACAGGTGAGCTATTGAGGATGCTTATGTTCAAATAACGATCTAATGTGATTTTCCTCTCACCATCTGAAGGTTTAGGGTCATGATTCAAAGCAACATTACAATGAATTAGCCTACTAGTTTTTCTTAGTTCTTCCATTCTATCTTTGAATAACTAGGGGCCTTATAAGCTAGCAAGTAATCGTCCAAGGCGAATAGTTGGTTTCTATTAGCCTGAAGAAACAATGGGAGAGAGTCACTAATGGAAGACAGCACACTGAAATCAGATTTTAGAGTTTTAAATATTTCCCAGCCACATTTTGTGCATGTTTTTAAATATGGATCCACACATTTCAATCTGATAGAAAGTCAAGCATCTTGGCTTCACTTCAAAAAACGTGTCATGAAGCCATTGCAAACGAGGAACTGACCCCTTTTAGTGTTTTTGCAATCACAGCCAGAACGCCAACTTTTATAGTTAATTTCAGGGTAGGACACTGGGATCTGTTAAAATCCAAACCTGTTACAATCCATATCTGTCCTACACTCAACTTGCTCTCCCTTCTGCCACGTTAATTTCAAACATACAAAACTAGCTTTACTGCTAGGATGAGTTATGGATGGAAGAAAGAAAGGGAATGAGAAAGAGAGGAAATGAAGTGAGATAGACATGCTATCCCTTTTCCGTTCCCTTTTGGTTTTGGTTTTACTGTGAGCTTTTCCAGCGTGCTGTTCTCTTCACAGTTTGGCCCTCGGCCCCGCCCCCTAGTGTCCAAGCGTGGTGGCGCGTGGCTGGCGCCTATCTCTTTAAATGACAGCTGTGGCTTGGGTCCCAGTACAGGGCTTGACGTCAGTGCAGCCTCCCCGGTGCTCGGAGTAGTTAGCGCCACCGTCCGCGCACAGGGCTCGCCGCGCGCTCGCAAGCCGCCCGGGCGGTGAGTTTTCTTTGCTCCAGCCCCTCCTCCCGCCCTCCCCGCAGAGTCAAGCCGCAGCCCTAGAACCTCTTGCAAGTCTTTTTCACACTTCCCCCGCGTCTCCCCTAAGGAGCAGCCGCTCCTCCTCGTGCCTCCACTGCCGCTGCCGCCGCCGCGCCCGCGGAGCTGTTCTCCCGCGCGCCGCTCCCCGATGGATCCCGGGCGCCGCCGTCGTCGCCGCGTCTCCGAACCTTGAGCGGGCCCGTCCCGGCCAGAGGTCCGCGCCGCCCGGTCCCTGATCCGGGGCGCACGAGGAGGGGCAGGGGTCGCCAGGGGAGCAAGGTGCCGGCTCCGGGAACCAGAGAGTGCTGTTCTCCTGGGTCACTTATCTGGCAGCGGGTGGCACGATGGCTCTGAAGGACACAGGCACCAGCGGCAGCACCATCCTGCCCATTAGCGAGATGGTCTCCTCGTCCAGTTCTCCGGGAGCGCCGGGAGCCGCCACCCCGGGGCCCAGCGCGCCTTCGCCCTTCCCCGAGGTGGTGGAGCTGAACGTGGGGGGCCAGGTCTATGTGACCAAGCACTCGACGCTGCTCAGCGTTCCGGACAGCACTCTGGCCAGCATGTTCTCACCCGCTAGCCCCCGGGGTGGCGCCCGGCGCCGGGGCGAGCTGCCCAGGGACAGCCGGGCGCGCTTCTTCATCGACCGAGACGGCTTCCTGTTCAGGTATGTGCTGGATTATCTGCGGGACAAGCAGCTCGCGCTGCCCGAACACTTCCCAGAGAAGGAGCGGCTCCTGCGCGAAGCTGAGTACTTCCAGCTCACGGAGCTTGTCAAGCTGCTGTCGCCCAAGGTCACCAAGCAGAACTCGCTCAACGACGAGGGCTGCCAGAGCGACCTGGAGGACAACGTCTCGCAGGGCAGCAGCGACGCGCTCCTGGTGCGCGGGGCAGCGGCGGCCGCGCCCTCGGGCCCGGGAGCGCACAGCGGCGGTGGCGCGCCTGACAGGCGCTCCGGCTTCCTCACGCTTGGCTACCGCGGCTCCTACACCACCGTGCGCGACAACCAGGCGGACGCCAAGTTCCGGCGCGTGGCGCGCATCATGGTGTGCGGGCGCATCGCACTGGCCAAGGAGGTCTTCGGGGACACGCTCAACGAGAGCCGCGACCCAGACCGGCCGCCCGAGAAGTACACGTCGCGCTTCTACCTCAAGTTCACCTACTTGGAGCAAGCGTTCGACCGCCTGTCTGAGGCTGGCTTCCACATGGTGGCGTGTAACTCCTCTGGCACGGCTGCCTTTGTCAACCAATACCGGGACGACAAGATTTGGAGCAGCTACACTGAGTACATCTTCTTCCGTAAGTTCACAGCCTTGCTTGGCGTTTGCGTTTGCCCCCCCCCCGTCCCCCCAGTCCCCCAGCGCCTCTTCTAAGGAGCAGGTGTGTCCTGGCCTCTGGCACACTGATTAGGACAGCTCCTCTCCCTGCACGCCCCTGCAGTGTGACAGGTACTGTTAACTCTCTTGCTCCCTAGGATTTTCGTCCTTGCTTGCCCTTTGTGGAACTCTGCAGTCCTCTGTTTCCACTCAGTCCTGCTTAACTTTTCAGTCTTGTCCTCTCGGCCTTTCCGCTCCTGGGCTTCACTCCAGCCAGGACAGGGAGGACACTAGGGAAGGGCTGGGCACAGAGGCCCTTCTTCTCTCAGCTTCCAGGGGGTTGGCCACCATGCATCACTACCTCTTCTTGGTGCCCATAAGGCCCAGTTATAGGCATTGTAAGAGGAGGCAAAGGGGGAGATGACATTTGTGCCTCCAGATGGCAAGGGTATCAGATCTGCTGGTTCTGTACCTAGAATTTATGAAACTTCATTTTCCTTCGCACCAGTTGCCAACTTCTATACAATTTCAGGTGTTTTGGATATTGAAGGTCTGAGTGGTGCTGTGAAAATTGGAGAAAAGGACTCTGTGTGTGTGTGTGTGCGCACGTGTGTGTAGCATCTTTATGGACCACTCTAGTGGAAAAGTAGCTCTTAAGCCCACTTTTCTGGGGATCAAAGCTGTGATTTGGAATGAAGGAAAGGGGAGAATATTTGAGAAAGCATCAGGCAAGACGATCTTGTATGGGTCTTGTATGTACTTCTGGAAGGGGCTGTGAGGATTTTTGGACGTTAAGTTTAGCACTGAGACTAGCAGAAACATGAGGTTTTGGGGACTAGGAGTGGTCACAATTCTAAATGACGTGTATAAAATGAGAAGGGCAATGAGAGCGAGCGATTTGGACTAATGAAAAGCCAGCTGGGGTAGCAGCAGGCGTATAATTTGACAGACTTTTTTTCTGTGATACAAAAACCTTTAAAAGTTGCTTCTAGTAAGAGGCAGAATAGCAATGAAAATCTATGTTGCAGACAATCCCAATTGTGTTTTATTTATTTTGATAAGTAAATCACTGGGATCATGGGCAATTTTCTACAGTTTGGGGAAGTGGAAGCAACTTTCTTTGTATAAATGCATATTTGATTGGAAGGTGGCATTGTATTAACTTTAGGAATAAAGCTACCAAGCACAGAACACAATATTGGAAAGAGATTGTCTTTGTAATAATGCTGGATCTGATGAGGAAAGCTATTCAAAAGAGTAACAAAGGGTGTGTCCATTGATATCAACTATTTTTATTACCTATATGAAAGTATTTATTAAATATTAAATTGCTAATGAGCAAAATAATTTGTAAAAACGTAATGTTTACTATTGAAAAAACTGGGATCCTTTCCTATAATTAGATTTATTATTTTTGCATCATATTCTTTAGTCTTCATCAATTGTATCTTTGTGAACAAATTCAGTTTTAAAATTACTTCAATCCAGATGGAGTTGAACAGGAGGTAAAATTAGTGTTTACTTTTCTTTAATGACTAGTAATTTTTGTTAGGAGAGTTTGAAAAGATTGGTGTCTTCAGATAATTTGTTGCAGTTAGGGGAAGTATGCCGTTGTTTTCCCTAGAAAGTTGTGGACTTGAAAATGTTCCTAACTTTGAAACCGTGTTCTTGTAAAGTCCTGACCAGAGTCTTGTGAAGAGACACTACAGTTATTTCTAAGTTAGGAAAAAAAACCCAAAACGTTTTACTATATTGAATAATAATTAATTAATGAATGGAATAATTTGAGAGATATTTAGAATTCAGGATATTTCACTTCTGAAGCTATTAGAAGTGTTAAATAAAATTAAATATTCATATTATGAATAACCACTTTCAAGATATTCTCATGACTAATGAGATCTGAACATTTATTCATAAAAGTCTCAGGAATCCACAGACGCAATCTATAACTTCTTCATTGAGCTTTCTTCGTTGATAATCCTTACTTTGGGGGAAAAAAGAATTCCAGACTTGGAATTAAGGTGTTTGGGTGTGGTAATTTAGTCATTGACTAACCTAATGTAGTTGCCATTGTTCATTTGAGGTGTAAAATTTATTTTGAATACTAGGATATATGTATTTATTGCTTTTTACAGCTTGCAGCATATAATTTTTTGTGAATGGAATTCATTTTAATATTTGATAAATGAAAAGAAACTGTATTTTTATTTCCAAAATGTTTGATAATGACATGCAAAATACAACCTTATTTATAAGTCACTATTATAAAAATTATAAATGATATTGATAAAATCAAAATTATTAAGTGAACTTGCTTGTTCACTTATGCTTTCAATGGAGAAGAAAATCTATTTCTCCCGGGCCCAGTGTTGATACTACTTTGAACAATATAATCTGTATCTGCAAAAATCATCCACTTTATCACTTTTTAAAATGTAGACTCAATATGAACCAGAATAAAGTTGCTCTACAAGGGATAGATAAAAACTATAGCTTATGCAATTGAATATTAACTTCAACCCCAGCCCTCTCACAGTTTTAGGTCTGCAGGGGAAGAGAGTGAAAAATGGTTTACCAATCCTAGGTACAGCTATAGACAATTATGTATAGTTTTGTTTACTTGCTTTGTGTCTCATTTTCCTCACTTGTACAGTAGGGACAGTCATAGTGTATCTATCTTAAAGGAGTTTGAGAATACATGCAAAATCATTAGAACAGTGCCTGACATATAATAAGAGTTTAAAAAATGTTAGTTGCTAGTATTATAAACAGAGTTTTCATTCTTGCCGATGTTAACTTTAATTTTGTAGTTAACTATAGTTAATTTAATTATAAAGTTAATTGGGAAGATATTTTTAGGTTAAATACTAGTACAATGAACTTTCATCTGTTTGTAACAGCCACTTAAATAAACTTCTTTTCTGGAACTTGAATTTTTCACACTAAGTTCAAGTCACCTAGTCTTGCCAATCATGGTCCAGTTGATTTTTCTGCATTGTTTTTTTCTTGATTGATTCTAATAGAATACACTTTTGATGCAGAGCCAATGATTGATTCTAATAGAATACACACTTAATGCAGAGCCAAGAAGCATTTAAGCACTCTACACTAAGGCTTGAAACTTTGGCAATATTTTTCTAATAAATATCAAGCTAGATTCATAGTTCTTTAAGTGCTTGTATCCAAGTCATTGGGTTCTAATGCACAAGGTTATATGCAGGCTATTAAACATTTAATATCAGCTTCATTTGGCTACATGTACACTTTAATATCTAGTCTCTTCTCTCATTATTTATCAAGTGTTTTTGATACACTGCAGCATACAGCGGTACTATTCAATTTTTATATTACTTTCCTAATACTGAAGATGGATTGCCCTTTCTTGGAGAAAACAGAGTGATTTATTGCGTGTTCTATGTTTTGAGAATGTTTGGGAAACATAGTTTTGGTTGTTTTTAGCATTACTTAGGAGGAGAAGAGGCGTTTATGTGTTGGTAGTGTATTGCATAGGTGATAATACGTACTTAGATTGTGATACAGAGACCCCTCATAGTCAAAATTCAAAACAAATAAAAATCATTGCTATTGAGTAGATTCCAAGTTATAGTGACTCTGCTTCAAGTTCCTGAGAGATTGTATATTAATGGGAAAAGACATTCCATCTCTCCACCTCGGAGCTGCTGTAGAGTTCCACTCACTAGAGTCTCATGGCCTCTTGGCCAGCAGTACACCTTGCTAGGGGCTATACCACCAGAGTGAGCTGAAATGCATCTCATTGCAGTTGAATCAGAACTACTCATAGCTGATCCTCCAGAGGTTGTATATCACACAGGAGGAGATTACTCATCTTTTCTTCTGAATAGCCACCGCTGGATTCATACTGCCAGGTAGAAAATGCCTTTGGGTTAGCTAATGGACTATGCTTGTTGCTGTTATGTGACATCAAATTGGAACCAACTCATAGCTAACCTGCCAGTAGATTTTCAGAAGCAGTTCATTGCATGGGAGGAGATTTCCCATCTTTCTCCACCAAATAGCTGGTGCCTTTGGAATGGACTATATTAGTATTATACAATTATTTCCCTATAATTAGTGACCTTACAGAAATGGAGTGCTAATGTATTGCTCTTGTATTCTTGCAGTGCCTTAGGTGTTGAATTCATATGTATTGGTTGAGTAGTATGTGGTTTGATGTACAGATTTTTCTAGGAGTACATTGCATTCTTTAATATTTGGTATGTCCCTTTTAGCCATGATGTATGAGAGTCACACATCTAGGAATTAATGCTATCACTGAGCAGGACTGTGAAATCGACTTGGTCTTAATTAATTTAAAAATATGTATTTCATATTCATTCTAATTTATTTCACTCTCTGGGCTTGAAGAAAGCTGGATGAGGTGAAAACATTCAAGCAGCGATTCAGTCTTACATTAGCAGGCTTGTTACTGTAAGGGTTTTCTAAGAAACATTTTTAAATATTTAGTCAATTTAAAATTCACCTTTAAAATTGTTGATATCTGAAAATATCACCCAGGAACATTTTATGAAAAATAGTTTTGCTAATACTAGTCCTTTTTGTATTTACAATGTGATAATTTTCTACCGTATTCACCTGGATGAATGATTTGGGAATGGGTAAGGACATAAGCAAACTTTTATAACTTCAAGATTCTGATTTCATGCAGGTGGTTCCAGAAATAAAGCAGATAGGAAATGACAGAAACATCAAAGTTCAAAAAGTCTAAAGGTTTTGCTGTGATATTGGCTGCTATTTAAGGACACTGAAATTTTATGCCTCCTGTTACGCTATCTCTAAATTTGATCTTTATACAGCTATTCTGTAACTCTGACTGGATCCATTTTAATGCAGGTAATTACATGTAGAGAATGAATGCTGCTATTAGCCTTCTTGAGAAAATAAGTTCTTTCCTTTTTGTAACTTCTTGTTGTGCATTGTGGAAGTGGAGCAGACCTAGAG